GCGCCGCCCCCCGCCGCAACGAGCGCCGCCTCCACACCTTCCGGCAGCGGGCGGCCGTCAAACACCCGCGGCACGCCGTGGAAGCAGCGCCGCGCGGCGCCCGCCAGCACGAGCACGTCGCCGCTGCGCAGCAGCAGCGCCGAGGGCGCGTCGTGGCGCGTCTCGCCGCCGATCAGGAAGACTGCGTCGAGGCCGAGGCTGGCCGTCACGATAGGCTGGGCCATGTCTTGTTCGGCATCGTCCACATGGCCGCCGAGGGTGTCGCCCGGCCTGTAGTAGTTGATCAAGGCTGCGTCTGGCATGTACAGCCTGCAGCCCCCGTCCAGGCCTGGGTCTGCGTCACACGCCCCTGCCTCTGCAGCTTCCGCTGCTGCCGCCGCTGCTGCTGCAGGCATCCCTGCCCCCTCTCGTGCTGCCCTGGCACCCGCCTCCCGCCCATTCCACGCGCCGGCCTCGACGCCAGCTGCCGCGCGCGCCGCAGTGGAGGCGGCCACGAATGCGAGCGCCATGCCGCGCAGCTCAAGTGGCAGGGGCGTGTGTGGCACCCACGGCTCATACTGCCGCGTTGTCCAATTGAACGCGGGCCCCAGCGTCACCCATCGCAGCCGCCGCAGCAAGTCTGATGCTGGGGGCCCTGGGCCGGCGGGCGACCACGGACCGTTGGTGGAGGCAGCGGCACTGCCGTCGCCGTTTGTGGTGCAGGCATGATTGACTAGAAACGATGCTGCCGGCGAGTGCGCCTGCTGCTCCTGCTGCTCCTGCTGCTCTTGGTGCAGCTGCTGCTGCTGCTGCTGCTCATGCTGCTGCTGCTCCTGCTGCCCCTCCTGCTGCTGCCGCACAGCCGCATCACTCAAACCCGCACAAGACTTCCCCCCCTCCTTTCCTGCTGCCCCTGCCGCACCATACGCGCCGCCCCCGCCCTCCCCGCCCTCCGACAGCGGCAGCGTGCTGCTGCGCTGCCCCGCGAGCGCCGCCGCAAGCAGCCCTGGCAGGCCAGATGGGTAGGCAGCCGTGTGGTTGCTGCGTGCAGGCGGGTCAGGCCACCGCAGCAGCGCGGACTCCATCAAATGCACTTGGGAAGCTGCCGGCAGGGCTCCAGGGAAGTACGCCAGGCCGGGGTGGCAGTCAAACAGGAACACGTGCTGCTGCCGCTGCTGCTGCTGCTGCTGCTGCTGCTGCTGCTGCTCCTCCTCCTCCTCGTGCTGCTGCTGCTGCTGCTGCTCCCGCTGCTGCTGAAGGCAGCAGCATGTGCCTCTTTTGACCTCAGCATCGCTCCACTCTGTACTGATGGGCACCGAAACACAATGGACGCCGGGATAAGAGCTGGCGCCGCCTGAATGCAGGTCGATCACCGCTGACAAGTCAGTCGGCCGCGTCACCAGCTTACCGCCACGCCGCCGGCCCTTCCTGCACAGGCGAAGTGCGGGCAGATTCTTGGCACAATTGTGGAGCGCGGCGCGGCCCGTCCGAGCCGAGGCACCACGGCTGTCATAGGTGCATCGGCCCTGTCGGGTGGAAACAAGACAACCAACCACTCCCGGTGGCCAACATACAGATTGTGGTGACTGGGGGCGCACCTGATCCGAATGTCCTGGTCTCTATGCAGCTGATAATGCTTCTCCGCCAGCCTGAAGGCGGTCGCGCCGTGCTCCGCAGGCTCGGGCTGCTGCTGCTCTTGCGGCTCGGGCTGAAGGCGAGGTGTTACCGCCGGCGAATCTGCGAGCGGCGCCGTCGAGAAGCCGAGCTGGGTCATGTATGCTAACTTATGAAGATTGCATGTACCATTCTTGGTGCAGCCAACGGGTATGTCAGGCCCTGCGAATGAGGTTTCGATACAAACACCAGGATTGGGACCAGGAAGTGTATGATACTGTATGCAGTCGTTCACAAAATGCGTTTGAACACTTCAAATACATTTCCGATGCACAGCTGTCTTGAAATCAATTGCAGGATGATCTGCAGACTGTTGATCTGCCTCTGATCGTGTCACTTTTACAATACATAAGGCCCCATTGGGAGGACCAACAACCTTTCACACCTGTAGTAGCACCTCATCCGGGAGGCCAGCAAGGGCGGCATCATAGCCTGGAGATTGGACGCAGCTGTCACATTACGCACTGCTGCAGCGGCCCTCGCACCAATCGCCGTCACCTAATCTTCACTCCTTCACAGCCATCATGCCAGCTGAGAGAGGCTGAAATATTGCAGACACATTGAAGCCAGCCGTCTGTGGCCGCAGCTGCGAGCTCGGGCCCTGCAATTCATCGGTGCCCGTCGCGGGTGGCAGCGGCGGCCATGGCGGAGCTGCTGACTCAGCTACAGGACCAGCTCCATGTGGTGTCAAAGATGTTTTTTGATTTTGTGGGGATCCTCCAACGTGACGCGCCGCCGATGTCAGTGGCAGGTGCGAGGCTTTGAATATACGCTCCGCGCCACCCAGTGTGGCCCTTTGCTCCAATGCGGCGCGCAACTACTGCGCAGAGCGAATGCCATCCCACTGGCACCCCCCCACGCACGCCGCAGGCGAGCCCATTGTTGGTGCGGCAAAACACCAGCAGCAGCAGCAGCAGCAGCAAGCCCAGCCCGCGGGCCAGCCGCCGCAGCCGCCCGACTTTGACGTAGAGCAGACGACCCAGCTGATGGCGGCGCAGCTGATCGCCCAATTCAAAGTGACCGAGGCCCTCATAAAGGCGCTGCCCCAGGAGGCGGCCCCCCCTGCCGCCCACTCGGACCGCATAAGGGCGCTGCAGCAAGAGCACGCCGAAGTCAGCGCCCAGCTGGACGCCGCCGCCCGGGAAGCTGAGGAGCAGCTGGCCGAGCTGCAGCGGCTCTTCGCCGTTCTGGCCGGCCAGCGGCTGCGGGACGCGCAGAATGGTCTTGTGCTGCCACCGCTGCCGCCGGCCGGGTGAGGGCCCACGGGGCCGCCTCGCGGGGCGGGCCGTGTGGGCCGCATTCGCGTGTGGCGGCCGCTGACTGCGCACGTGCGCCTTGGTCTTGCGTCGCAGCGATTCGCGCCCCGTGGCGCGGCCGCTGCCTTTGGCTGTGATGCGGCGCTGTGAATGTAGTTTGCACCATAATGAGGCGACAGCCGCCATATCTTCGCTCTTACCAGCAACATGCCGTGGCATGGACGGCGGGTGCCACGATGCAATCAGCATCAACCACCACCCAGGTAACTTTGCGACAACTCATGTGGGCACGAAAATCGCCCCATTCAGAATAGGTTGTTGATGGCAGCGCAAGCAGGACCCAGAAATGCATATAAGTGGATGTCAGCGCGAAGAAGCGAGTGCAACCGCAAAACTACCCTCAGCCGTGGGCCGGTTGTTTTACCGCCGCCGCGCAGCCGCCGCCGCCGCAGCGGGCCCCGCCGCCGCCTGCGGCGCCGCGTTCGGCAGCCGCCGCCGCCGCGCCGCGCGCACGCGCTGCAGCAGCGCCTCCGCTGTCGGGCGGCGCTCGGGGTCGGGGTTTAGGCAGAGGGTTATGAGGTCATGCAGCTCCTGGGGGTACCGCGGGGCGGGCGGCTTGGGCCAGGGGATGCGGCAGCTGCGCAGAAACGTACGGGCGGGGGGACAGGGAGGGGTTGGGGATGCGCGACTAACGGCAAAGGGGCGCCCTCAGGAGAGGGCCGAGTCGCCTGGGCGCGGCGCGGCGGGCCCGGGCGCGGCCGCGTGAGCCGTGGGGCGCGTGGGGCGGCAGCAGGGGGCGGGGCAGGGCCGCACTCACTTCATGACTGCGAGAGGCAGGCTCGCGCCGCGATCGAGGGCCTCTTGGAAGGGCGACGCACCATAGAGCATGTGGAACCTGTTCCGGGTTATGCATGGGAGGGGCGGGGGATCTTGCGGGTTGGAGCCTTGGGGTGTGTTTTTGAGGCGGGGGCTGCAGCTGATGCTCAAGTCAGACACGCTTGACGGCCCACAAAAGCTGCGGGCCGCTGTGGGCGCGCGTGCTGCGCGCCGCAAGGACCACCTGCCGCTGACGCGCTCACAGCGTGCAGCCGAGGCTCCAGACGTCCACGCGCGCGTCCAAGGTTGAGTGCGTGCCCACATCAAACAGCTCAGGGGCGCGGTACGTGGCGGTGCAGTGGGCCTGGAGGTTGGCAGTGTGTGGAGCGCGTGTGCATGTGTTGGTACTGTGTGCGTATGGCCCGAAGCAACGTTCACCGAGGTGGTGCCCTCGGCTGCCACTCTCGACCCTGCAATATGTGCCTTCAAAAGCACTCAGCCGTCAAAAGCACATCAGTGCGCCATTAGGCACGCTCGGGTGGCCCTGCCGCGCGTCATGCAACCGGGCGCGGCGCAAGGGCGAGCGCGCGCCACGGGCGCGAGCCACCTTTTCTAACGCCAGCCAACAGTCTAGGGCCACGCGGCGGCAGCTTCTCACCTCCGCATCCTCCTGCAGCGCCAGCGCGTCCACCCGGTTCGTCACGCGCACCTCGGCCGGCCGAGCGCTACCAAAATCCATGAGGACCGCGCCGAAGCGCCGCCGCCGCCGCCGCTTGCGGTGCTGCTGTTGCTGCTGCTGCTGCTGCTGCTGCTGGCGCCCCTGGGGCGGCGCCAGCTGCAGCTGCGCGCCCGACGGCGGTTCGCCGCGCTCTGCTGCGTCTGCGTCTGCCTGCAGGAAGGGAAGAGCTTGGCGGTGTAAGTGCAGCCCACTGGTGCCCGCTACAACTGCCGTCCAAACCTACCTTTAAAAGAAACACAAACATTCGCAAGGTGCAGCCCCACAAGCCGCCGGAAGAAGCCAGTGTCAGGCAGCTGCTGCGATTGTCATTCACGCCATGACTCAACTCATCAGTCAACTCGGCTCCTCACCATCCCGTCATCGTCATCCTCCGATGCCCCTGCATGATCCTCCTCATCAAAAACCGAGGTTGTGCTGCGCAGCACGTTGTTTTCAGGCCGCACTACGAGGATGTTGTGGGGCTTGATGTCGCGGTGGGCTATCCGGCGGCTGTGCATGTGCGCAACACCCGCACACACCTTGGGGGCGCATGTGCACGTGTGTGGCAAATGTATGAGAGTGCATGTGTATCGTTTGCGTGAATGAGTGTGTGATTACGGTATGCCCGCCGGCACAGAGGAGTAGGTTGTTTTTGGGTCGTACAATTTTCGGGGGGCGCCCAAGGCCCGTGTGTGTGTGTGTGTGTGTGTGTGTGTGTGCACTTGCGCATGCTAACGCATGGTCGTCCGTCACCGCCACATGAGCATGCTTTGTTTCATTGATCTGCAGACAGAGTTGTGGCCGCTGCAAGACACACACGAAACGCGACCCCTCGCGCACCGCTAGCCTGCACTTGACAGCCCCACCTGCTCAAACACATCCAGCACATCCTGCGTCGCCAGCCGTTGCCGCGCCGCCGCCAGCCGCTGCAGCTCGTCAAACAGGGTGCCATCCTCGAAAGCCGGGAACAGCAGCAGCACTGTGCAACCCTCGTGGGGGGTGCGCCCCCCGCCCCCGGCCCCGCCGCTCGCGGCAGCGCCCGCGCCGCCCGCGCACACGGCGTGGTCGAGCAGGGGCAGGCAGTTTGGGTGGCTGAGGGCGCGCATGGTGGCGATCTCGCGCTTGGCCTGCTGCAGGCGGTCGCCAGAGGCGGCGTTGATCTGCCAGGTCAGCGGGGAGGTGTGCGAGGGAGGGGGCGGAGAGCCCGCGATAATGTATGTGCAGGGGCGGGCCACTCACAACGCTGCCACGCGAGAGGTGGCGCATGCACAGGAGGTGCAGCTGCATTGCTGTTACAGTCCACAGAGTGTGATGTTGTTGCCGCAAAACCGGCGCTGGCCCTCTGCATGGCCGCTGCACCCGCAACCCGCCAGTGATGCAGCTTCTTGTGCACTTCTACATGCCCCGCGCACCCGTTTCAGCGCCAGCGGGGCATCGTCTACCAGCGGCTGCTGCGCCGTGGGCACCTCGCGCACCAGGTAGACAAAGGCGTAACCACCCTCCCCCAGCTGCAGTGCGCGATACCGCAGCACGAGCAGCGGTTGGTGTGAGCGCGTCTCGCATTGGCGGGTGTCGCCTTTTTCACAAAGTCACGGCGTAGCAGCAGCTGCTGCATATGATGATTGTAAACCCCTTCAAAACTCCCTCAAAATTGACAGTTGCCGTGCAGCTCACCTCTCTTATGATCCGGAAGCGCCTGTCTTTGATCTGAACGGTCTGTGCGGTACCGCCACCAGATACAGTATGTACAAGTAAGCTGTAGATCCCTGCCAGCCACTCACGGGCTAGCTCCAACACCCGGCTGATCAGAGACTCGACAACGCTGCTCATTATGATCAATTGCACACATCGGAAGGGGTTTCGACCTTTTTTGCGTGATAAGTGTTTCAATTGAGTCGCGGGCTACGGACCCCTGCGTGCTGAAGGCACAAGAGACTTTGCAGGAGTTGACTGAGCCCAGCGCGCGCAGCACAGCGGCGTGCGCGGCTCAAAATCGCTATCGCACATCTTGAAAAAGATGCAAGGAGTGAAGCATGAGGGGCAGCATTTACACGGCGTTTGCGATCTACCAAGGACCCTGGCAATGGGGGCAGAAGCTCTTGCCGCTGCTGCGGAACCACCGGTACAGGCACGCCGGGTGGAACGACACCGCGCACGTCCGGCACGTCAGCCGCGGCAGCTGCCCGTTGGCTGCCGAGATGACGCTGTAGCAGATCAGGCACGGCTCAACGCCCTCGAACTCGCGGTCCACGTTGGCCCTCCACAGGCCGACGGCGTCGAGCACCCCCTGGTTCTGGTTGCGCAGGAACACCGCGATGGACAGCAGCCACTTGCGCAGCTTCCCGTCGTTGACGCCCACCTGCACAGGGGCGGCCGCCAGGGGTGGGGGGATCGCGGTTGAGAGGGGGGAGTCGAGTCCGATGCCTGGCGCCAACCACAGCGGGCGGGGCGTCACTCGAAGGCGAGCTCGCCGGCACGCCTGCAATTAAAAGGGGCCTGTTTGCAAGCAGCGCAAGACACGCCCAGCCGGCTCGCCGTTTGAAACACGTGCGCCTTGACATACAGCTTTCACTCAGCACCCAGCTGCAGCTCTGTGGCCCCTCCCCTCCCGCTGAGACTCGCCTGCCCCTCAATACACAATTCCAAACTCCCACACATGAGCACACAAACACATAAGCATTCTGCACACACACACACACACACACACACACACACACACACACGTGCGCGCGCACACACACACTCACTTACAGACACACACAGACGCGTGCACGTTCGCACACACGCGCGTACATACACACACAGAGCCGCAGCCATCACCCCCACCTTGTTCCTGCACTCCACCTCCGCCGCCCGCAGCGGCGTGCTCGCCGGCAGCTTGATCAACAGATCCAGGCTGGCGCCATCCTCAATCTCCAGCTGGGCAACCACCTCCCTGGCTGCCGCGCTCGTTCGCACTGTGAACTTCCCGCCGTCGCCGCCGCCACCGCCGCGGCGGATCGCGCCGAGCTCAGCAGCAAGCAGCGCGGGGCTCTCGTGCGCCGAGGTGTACGCCTCGACAGCCGCGGCGCGCGCGCGGTCCCGGAGGTCGCCGAACCACAGCCGCGCGCTCGCGGGCAGCGCACGCAGCACCGCGCGGTAGCAGGCCGCGGCCAGCGGCCGCCACGCGGCCGGCGGCGTGCCGGGCGCCGGCGGCGGCCCCGCCGCGAGCAGCGCGGCGCGCAGGCT